CAGTCTTCCAGTAACTTGAGGAAGTGGTCTGTCATTGTTATTGAGAGCTGTGGATCCAAGGAGTTTTACTGCAGAACATGGCAAGGCCATTTCCATGGGAGCTCAAGTGCAGTCTTTCCCTAATGTTGCTTCAGAAATAGCCAGATACCTAATCTGAGAGCATGTAGAGCTGGTTAAGTATCTGGCAAGGGAAGATCATTGTTTACATCAGTGATGAGGTTGAACAGCTCTGGAAAATTATTACGTTAACTAGAATTATTACATCACATAATTTCTTTTTTTGTGATGGAAATAATTAAGATATAGTCTCTTAGCAACTTTGAAGTTTATAGTACACTGTGCTGTGCATAGATCTCCAGGATTTTTTTTTATCTTCAGGTTGTAAGTTTTATCCTTAAACAATACCTGCCCAGTCCCCGAGCCCCTGGTAACCATTCTTCTGCTTTCTCTATTTACAGGAGACTGCACATGTAAGTGTTACTCTCTGTCTGATTTGTCTCACCTAGCATAGTGTCTTCAAGATCCACACGTGATCCGAGTTATCACAAGTGGCAGGATTTCCTTCTTTCTCGCGGCTGAATAACATTGATCCTTTTTAGGTGGCCCATTACCCATCTTCACTGGATGCTTGTAAAATCTGCCACTTGTCTCCACTTTTCTGAAATACCTAAATATTGTGTCTTGATGTGGGTGGGCTTTCATTCGTGATGGGAACTCATTGAACCCTTGCAGTGTTACAAATCCTGTCCTTCAGTTGCTGGAGTTTTCTTGAATTACTTTGTAAGTTTTCTGCCTCTCTTTTGTGTTCCTTTTTTTCTGAAACTCCTAATTATTTGGATTCCCTGGACTGGTTCTCTGATTTCTCTGTTTTTCTTTCACATTTCTCTGTGTTTGACTGCTGTTTCTTAGGCTCTCTCCTCAGTTTATCTTCTGCCTAGCCAGCTCTGCTTCCAGAGGGATCTTGTCCTCTCAGGTCTCAGCTTTGAGGATTTGACTCCGAAAATCCAGTTGGTGCTCAGCTTTCTATCAGCTTCTTCAGTTTTTTTGGATCCTTGTCATCTGTTACTGTTTGTCCACTTTTGTTCTAGTTTCCATATTTCTATGCCATCTTCTCTACCATTTTTCTTCTTTACAAGTTTGTGCCTTTTCCATGGTCTTAGTAGGCTGTAGGTGGTGAGTCAAGTTTGATATGTGTTCAGTACTCTGTTTTACCAAAACACTGCTCATTTTTGTAAGCACTCCTTTGCAGCCATTAACGTACCCCCCCCACCCCCATCTGTTAAAGGCAAGTGTTCATCATGGCTGTAACCCTCTTCATGTCATGTCATGTCACATGACACACTTTCTCTAGCTTTGTTTGCATATCTTTAAATGTAAATAATGTACTCTTGTCATCCTCATTTGTTTTGTACACTCCTTGAGGTGAGGCACACATACTCTGCATCCTTTGGAGGCAGCTGACGTGAAAGTCCTGCTCCCACCCCTCCTCTGCAAGCAGGTGGATCTCAGGGCTGGCTGTGTGTTTCTATGACTTTACGCAGCTGCTGCTCATCTTTGCTCTTCTCCGAGCAGCCAGACCCTGCCTGTACTCAGTATTTTTGTTCATGCTGTTCCCCCTTCCTGGGGTGTCTCATGTAACTACTCGTTTCTTTCCCCAACCCCTCTTTCCTTTCCTGACAAGCTTCTTTAGTCTTAAGACCTTCTGCTTAAGTATACTCTTGTAGAAGCTTTCCTTCAACCCTTCAAGGTATAGCTGAACATCCCCTGTGCTTACGGCACTTTATATAGAACCCTGTACTGCAGTTTTTATTGATAGTCTGACTGCTATGACTGGATTGTGGCTCTTTCCTCTCTAGTGTGCCTTTGTGGTTAAAGAAGTGTGCTCCACACATCACCAAGTACCGTTACATTATGACGGTAATTAGCTGAGTTTTAAGAGGTGGTTGCCTTTTTGATAATTACACATCTTTTAAGGTTTTCTTTTTTTTTAAGTATTCTCCCATTTACCTTTATTTTTGATAACTTTTTAAAAAGATAAAACATGTAACTACTTGGGGTGAGGGAGAGAACTGATTGCAGATTCAAATTTTTTTAGTTCATTTTGAAGGAATTTTCACAAGGTGGTTTTTAAAGAAGATAAAGTCCAGAGGTGGTTGTTAAGGGGGTGAATGAGTTAGTCTTTGGGTTTTTTCCTTCCCCACTGCTCATTCTCTCCATAGAGGGCTCTGGTTTAGGAAGTCATCCTCAGCAGTAGATATAACAACCTGTTACACTCCTGGGTTGACCATCTGTTTAAATTAGTACCTTGCACATGAACTGTCTAATCCCTGGTGGATTTATTATGATTCCAATTTCATTTTGGTTTTGTGTCACTCTCTTTAATGTCCCCTTTAAGTTTTCAGACATTATTCAGACTTGATGAACATTAAGTACAAATATTCTTAATGTATTTTTAATATAATGTGTGCTTAGCTGGAAAGTACTTGTAGATCTGATTGTCATAAAACAAATCTCTTCAGAAAAATAGTGTCATTGAGATTTGTTTTTGCAACTAAAAGTAAGGTGTAAATATGTTATATAAGCAAAGATAAAGTCAAGCAAACTTAATAACTTAAAATAATAAAGTGTTAAATAAAATTAATTGATTTTCTAAGGAGTTACCCTTTTGTTCAGTCAAACCTTCAGTCTTTTCAGAACTCCAGCTCTATCACCCTGCCCTTGCTTTTAGTATTTGACCTCATTTCCAACATCAGAAAAATATGAAAGCCATCAGAACGAGAACTCCCTGGCTTTTGCCTCTGAACCCACCCCTCTGCACCTGTATCCTCCTTGGTCTTCCTGTTAGTGATATGATGGAGAAGCATTTGAATCTTGCTTGCAATCTAGTCCATCCCCCCCCCCCCCCCAATCCCAGCATTTCAGTGTCTGCTTTTCTCGTGTTCCCCTCTTGTTTCCTTTTCTCTGGGCTCTTCCTCTCAGTACTTAACATACTCAAGTCTCTTACATCTTAAAAAATGTTTAATCTTGTGTACTACTCCAGCTGCTGCTTTATTTTATCACCTTCAAAGAATCACCTACGTCTCAGTTGACTTAATGCCCAAGTCATTGCTCAGCCTTCTGCAGTGTAGACTCTGCTGCTGCGTCACTGCAGCTATTTTTGCCTAGTCCAGCATCCCTCGGTGACTTCATCATTGCTAAATTCAGTGGACGCTGCTCAGTCCTCACCTTACTAGGCTTCTCTGCAGCTTTGGGTACTGTTTACTATTCTGCCCTTTTCTGAAATTCTTTTTCTTGCCATTCCTAGTCTCTGATCTCCCCTCATGTGCCCTTCTGACTTGGATGATGGTGTGTATACTCTGTATCTTCAGCTTTCTCTTTGGACGGGTCTGTTCAGCTTGCCACTCCCTCGTAGGTGTCTCACAGGCATCAGACTCAGCCTGCACACAGCGGAGCGCTCATCATCCTGTTCCCTCTGACCTCCTGTGAATGATGCTGTTAGCCTGTTCCCTGAGGCAGGAGTAATCATCTGTGACTCCTCCTTTCTCACCCCCAGGATTCTATCCTGTGGGCTGCAGTGCTGCCTCAGGTGGCTCCAGCCGTCTCTTCTGTAGCAGCCAGCATCACCTCTCACCTGAGTCATTCTGACACTGTTGACTTAACTGATCTCTCAGCCTCCTGTCCTTACCACCGCCCCCCCGCCACCACACACACCTCCCTAGCATTCAAAAAAGGTAGGCAAAGATGTTTTCCCCAAAGGAGGATTGCTATTCTCCTGTTTAAAAATCCTGAATGGAGTGTGTCCTCTTGTTCTTGGAATAAAAAGACTTGTATGATCTGGCTCCTAATTGTATCCCCAGCTTCATCTTCAATTATATAATGTGACTATTTTTCAAATGCTTTTCCCTCCCTTCAGGTGATACAGCACACTGTGTTTCCCTCTTAACACACATACACAGCACAGTTCTCAGAGTGTGATCTGGGAAGCCCTAGGTGTCCCCAAAATCCTTTCAGAGGATCTGCAGGGTCAACACTATTTTCATAATAGTACTATATTCTTTGCCTTTCTTCACTCTGATTCTCATGAGTGTACAGTGGCTTTTTCTTAAAGGTGAAGTGTCAGGTGATGATGCCGTTGCTCTGGTGGCTAGTGGGTATGTGCTTTTGTAGGCTGTGTTTTTAACAGTTCCCATTTTTAAATTCTAAGAGGGTTAATACTGATAGAACCTCTTCAGGGTCTTCAGTGACACCCAAGAGAGAAAAAGGGTCCCAAGTCCAGAAAGTCTGAGGACCATCTTTCAGGCCTTGGTTAGTTGGGATTTCCTCTGAGGAGACTTGGCTTGGGTCTCCACAGTGTGACTTTTGGGTCACCTCTGCGGGTTGTGCCTTGGCACATATCCTGTGGTGGGTCTGTTAGTTACCTCTCACTAAAGCTCCACCATGGAGGGGGAACCCCAGTCAATCCCCAGTTCTGGAGACAGTGAGTACTCAGCAAACACAAGCTGAGTGAATCTTTTTGAAGGTATTTGGGGATATGAACTATAACATGTTCTAAATCATAATCATTTTGTACTTTATGAGAGATGCATTCATTTCTTAATTTTTTTGACCCCTTAATATCTGAGTGGGTTTTAAGAAAGCAAGTTTTACTTTATATGCGTTGTGTACATGTGCATACATGTGCACACATGTACACACACACACACAGGGAAGCGTATACGTATTAGAGCAGAAAGAACCTTACTTGTTGGCAGTCAGGAGCTTCATTTTGGAATATTCTTTCTCTTCTGTGCAAATAAACAGGTCTTTTTATTTGGTTGAATATAACTTTCTTCATCAAATAATGTGATTGTGCTCTATTATCTAAAAAGTTTTTCCCATGTGAAATTATGTGATTATATATGAAGAGTGTCAAAGTGTATGTGATTCGTATTTCTTTATATATATTAAAATGCATGTATATTTAGATTTATTTATATATTAAAATCACTTTGTTTTCACAGGAAAGATGATAAAGACTATGCTTTAAAACAGATAGAAGGAACCGGGATCTCTATGTCGGCATGTAGAGAAATAGCAGTAAGTGAAGCTCTTTTTTATCATCATTATTATCAGCTGATTTATGCATGTCAATTATATAGGTCTCTGAATTGTATTTGTCACAAACACATTAACTGAAAGTTGAGAAGTATTTTTCGTGTCATCCTTGCACAGGGGCCATGCTAATCTTCTCTGTATCGTTCTGATTTTAGTATATGTGCTGCCGAAGCGAGCACGAGAAGTATTTTTCATATCAACTATTTAAATTTATATTTTCCAAAAAATGTCACTAAATAGATAAAGGCCCAGTTATTCTTATTTCACTGTGTGTAATAGAAGTATTTATTATATGTTAACTCATATAAAATTCATGTTTCTATTTTAATAAGATGAAATTATTGCCATTACTTATGAACTTAAAATGGGATTATTTGATTTTCATTGTTTCTGTCTGTTCATTTGCATATGTAAAATTATATACCCCCCTTTTTGGAAGCATATCCTTGCCATATGGTAATTAAAATCTCATTTTGATTCCGAAGGAAAATATTCTTCATGTTAATGCATTACCAAATAATTACTCATACATTTAAAGTGAGATTTTACTTCAGTTTTTACTGTTGGGAAACTATGGGTCCAGACTTATCTTTTCAGTCTCTAGTCAGAATATTCTAAAATATGTATTATAATAGTCTTTACTTTTATTGCTTTCAGCCCTCTTTCTACAGATATAGGCTGTTACGGCCTGGAGGTATTAATTTGAATAATTTTACTCAATTTAACAGCTTCTATACCATTGGGTTTTCAACTAATAGTCAATTATTTTGTATCATATTGAGAGCAACTAGACCAAGTAAAAGTATAGAAACTTAGAGAAGTCAAGAACCCTGGCCTTAAGTGTTCACACACTGATGAGGAAGGAGACTCATAACACTTATAGGAACACTGTAACAGACACTATGATAGAAGTGACTGGGAAAAGGGTATATATACATAACTAGCGAATTGAGGAAGTGTTCTTGCCTTGAGAATCCCAGGGATGGGGGAGCCTGGTGGGCTGTCATCTGTGGGGTCGCACAGGGTCAGACACGACTGAAGTGACTTAGCAGCAGCAGGAGAGAATCGAGGAGGGTTTCAGATTTTGGAGGCCATGTAAGTATTACCCCCACAAGGGAGGAATAGGAGTGAGATGGAGGGCGTTCTTAACCAAAGGTATGCTGTAATGAAAACTCTATTTCATTTCATTGATAAAATTCTCATACCCTTGAATCTTGAGGTAAGATATCTGTTCATTAACTGTCAGTTCTGCAACTTCTACTGTTCTCTGTGTTCCAGTCAGTTGTAAAGGATTAAAATCCATTGCAGTATGGTGAGTGATGTTGGGCATCGGGATAGTGATGACCTTTGGAGGGTCAGAGAGGGAGCAGAAGGACAGACAAGCGGGCTTTCAGGGTGCTAGTGATGTTCCATTTCTTGATTTTGCCCTGGGTCTGGTCATGTGGGTTTCATGTGTGAAAACTCATTGAGCTGTGCACTTAGCATTCATGTGCTTTCCTCTGTCTTTATTATTCTCCAACAAAAAGTTTTTAAAACAACTCTCCATTCATTTCAGAAACATTCTTAGCTTTTTATCTGGGTTGATAATTGTAAATGCAGTTAAGCACAATAAGGAATACTCCTTATTTTTATTGTACTTGATCTTGGTTCTTATACCCAAGGTGAGCAGAAATTTTTAATTTTGATGACATCTCATTTGCTAGTTTTTTCCTTTTATGACTTGTTTTCTGTGTCTGGCTGAAGAAATCTTCATCTGTTTGCTGATTGTGAAGATATTTCCCTTTGTTTTATTCTAAAGCCTTGCAATTTTAGCTTTTATTGTAAGTCTGTGATCTGTTTACTTTATTTCTATTTGTAGTCTGATGTAATGCTTGAATGTCTCCTCCCCTCTCTCCATGTAAATGTACAATTGTAGCATCATTTTTTGAAAAGACTCTTTTCCATTGAATTCCTTTGGCATATTTGTAAAAAATGAAATGACTGTAAGTGTTGGACTATTTCTGGGCTCTATTCTGTTCCATTGATCTCTTTGTCTCTCCATGGCTGATTCCAGATCACTCTGCATCACACACATCAAGACTTGAAGTGAGGTGGTATAATGCCACCAGCTTTATTCTTTGGATTCAGGATTGTTTGGGCTATTTTAGGTTCTCTGAATTAGCATATACATTGTTGAACTGGCTAGTCATTTTTATTTCTAAAAAATGCCTGCTGAGATTATGGTTTACATCAGTTCAGGGAGAACTGATATCTTAATAATACTGAAACTTCCAAGCCATGAATCTTAAGAAGGTATATTTTCCATTTTTAAGGTTTTTGCAAAATTTCTGTCAATAATGTTTTATAGTTTTTTAGTGTGGAAGTTTTACATAGTTGTTAAATTCATTCCTAAGGATTTTATGTTTTCTGTACTATATATGTATTATTTTAAAATATTTTCTTCTACTTTGCTTCTGTACTTAGAATGGTTTTTTTTAATAAGTTTTTTAAAATCAAATTTATTTAGATTTACCTGATTTACCCACTTACTTACCTATATTTTTTCTGAGTATTTCCTTTGTCCTTTTTTTTTTTAAAATAACTTTATTTATTTATTTTTGGTTGTGCTGAGTCTTCGTTGCCGCATGGACTTTTCTCTGGTTGCGGTGTGTGGGCTTCTTATTTCAGTGGCTTCTGTTGTTGCGGAGCACAGGCTCTAGGGCACACAGGCTTCAGTAGCTGTGGTGCACAAGTTTAATTACTCTGTGATATATGGGGTCTTCCCAGACCAGGGATCAAACCCATGTCTCCTGCATTGGCAGGCAGGTTTTTTACCACCGAGCCACAGAGAAAGCCCTAAAATGCTATATATTATATAAATTTTATTTCTAAATTCACTGGTAGGTTTGGTGATACCTTGGAATTTCCTACGTAAATAATTATGTCATCTATAAATAGGAATAGTCTTACTTCTTTCTGTCTGTGTGCGTTTATTTTTTTCCTTTCCTGTTGCATTGGCTAGAACCTCTCAGAAGATGTTGGATAGTGGTGAGAGCCAGCATCTTACTACTTGTTCCCAGTCTTGGGGGAAAGTGTTTTCAGTGTTTCACCATCAAGTTAAATGCTAGCTATAGGCTTTTTATAGATATCATTAGTCAAGCTTTAGGAAGCTCACTTCTTTCTTTTTTTTTTGTAAATGGTAGTGAATTTTGTCAAATGCTTTTTTCTGCATGTCCTGAAATGACTGTATAGTTCTTCTCTTACTGTTATATTGGTTGACTGCATTGATTACTTTCCTAATACTTACCCAATTTTGCAGTTTTGAAATAATCCCTGCTTGATTATTTATATCATTAATTTGATTTACTAGTGTGCTGTTAAGGAGTTTTAGGTCTTCTGAAGAATGTTAGTCTATGATTATCATTCTTGTAATGCCTTTGTCTTCAGTATTGAAGTTGTGCTGTCCTCACGGAATAGGTCAGGCAGCCTTTCTTCATCCTCTGTATTCTGATAGTTTCTGTGCAGTTGGCAGTTATTTTTCCTCAGATGCTTGACAGAATTCACAAACCATATATCTTCACATTTAGTATTTTGTGTTTAAGTTGTGTTTTTTATGTAATTTTTTCATTTTAAGTTATTGAATTTACTGGCACAAAGTTAAGAATACTCTCTTACTATCTTTCATAAATGTAGCTTCTAGAGTCGTGTCCCTGTTTCATTGTGGACTTGGTAATCTGTGTTCTCTGTGTCATTGATTTTTGCTCTTAAACTTTTATTATTTCTTCTACTTACTTTTGGCCTGCTTATCTTCTTAAGGTGGACCATTAGGTCATTGATTTTTCTTTTTTAAACTATTCTTTTCTAATATAGGCAATTAAGACTATAAATTTGCCCCTAAGCTATGTTTTTCTTGCATTTTTCTCTTGACAAATTTTGTCATGTTGTATTATTATCATCACTTAGTACAATTTCCATTTTCTTTGTGAGTTTTTTCTTTTATTCATGGGTTATTTAGAAATATATGGTTTAATTTTTAAATATGTGAGGCTTTCTGGATAGTTTGTTGTTGATTACTAGTTTCTTCCCCCACTACCGTCCTCCTTGTTCCTGTCTTAGCTCACCGCCTCACAGGGTTGCAGAGAGTGGTTAAGACCCTACCCAGATTACCCAGGCTCTTATCTTGGCTTTGGACTTCCCTGATAGCTCCATTGGTAAAGAATCCGTGTGCAATGCAGGAGACCTGGGTTCAATCCCTGGCTTGGGAAGATCCCCTAGAGAAGGGAACGGCTACCCACTCCAGTATTCTGGCCTGGAGAATTCCGTGAACTGTATAGTCCATGGGGTCACAAAGAGTCAGACATGACTGAGAGACTTTCACTTCACTTGTTACCCTGGCTTTACCACGTACTTGGCTTGTAGGACCCAAAGCAGGTTACCTGATATCCCTGTTTTAGTTTCCTCTTTGTAAAATGAGAGCAGTGGTATCTCATAGGGTTTCTGTGCATGAGGAGTGTTGGTCACTTCTTGGGGCATGGTGAACTCTGGGTACCTATTGGCTTCTCAGGAGATGCCAGTCATCACTGCGGCAGCCACAGTGCATAGACAGCCTGCCCACTTGAATTTATCTGGTGCCAGAGGACTTCTGTGGAAGGTCTCGGCACATTTTATATCCTGGGACCTTGTGTAGCACCTACCACAGGGCCTGGAGTGTGGCAGGTGTTGGGTAAATGAGCCCTGCCAGAGCTCCCTGGCCCTTTGGAAGTGCGTGAGTGTAAATATTTACTTAGAGGCAGCTCCTCACAGAGACTCGGCTCCAGCTCCAATCCCTCAGTGACCCAACTCCCAGGAGAGCGAGTTGTACGAACTCAGTAGTAATAGCTATTTACTGTACTATTTGCCCGGGCTGCCACAACAGAATGCTACAGACTGGGGGATTTCAACAACAGAACCTTATTTTCTTAGTGGTGGAGGGTGCCTTCACAGTTGGCTTCCTGTGAGACCTCTTCTTGGTTTGCAGACGGCCACCCTGTTGTGGCCTCTTCACAAGGTCACCTCTCTCTGTGTTCTAATCTCCTTTTCTATAAGGTCACCATTCTGATTGGATTAGGGCCCATCCTACTGACCTCATTTTACTTTATTTGCCTCTTTAAGGGTCTTATCTCCAAATAGAATCATTCTGGGGGGCGGGGGTTTAGGGCTTCAACACAAGAATTTGCATATACAGACTCAGTTAAGTCTGTAACACTTTTATTACTACTATAATAATCATACTTAACTTACTAGTAAAATCATTGCCCTCAAAGACTTAATATTTGACCAATCAGATGGATTTTCTTTAAAATAGAAGTGAATTGATTTTTTTGATGAAAGCGTTGATGTTAGTCCACAGTTCAGAAGACAGAGGGTGTGTTGATGATGCCCTTTAGCTGATATATTTTGTTTATTCGTGAATTCAGTTATTCATATATTCACCAGGTGTTTAATGAGTACCTTTCAAGTACCAGGCAGTGTGCTTGAAACTAGCAGTCCCATGATAATCAAAACACAGTGCCTGCCACTGTCCAGTTCACAGCCTAGTATGTACTTAAAATCTGTGTCTCTGGATGAAGGAGAATTACTGCCCCTGGGGGTAGGTCTTAGGAGGTGTTGGTATTAGACCACAGAGTGTTGGATTTGTATTTTAGAAATTAATTAATTAACTTCAAAAGCATTTAAATCCTGATTCTAACCACTACTTATGAATGTGACCTTGAGCAAATTATTTAATCTCCTTACACCACCATTTCCTCTTTGTAAAACAGGAGCAGTATAAATATTTCATAGGGTAATTCATGATGGAGTGAGATAGCGCATGTCACCTACTTCGTCCCATTCTTGGCACCTGGGAAGAGCTTAGTAAAATGGTTGCTGCTGTTTTCTTTTTAGTACAGGAACTCAACCTCACCTCAGAGGTGAGATTCAGGCGACACCTAAGAATAACCTACTTATATGTAGGTTTCTAATAATTTGAGAGAGCTTTTGCCAAAGCTTTGGAGTTTGTTTATTATAATTTCCACCCTGCTGGTTTCCAGAGAGGATTTGAAATAGCTGCCCAGCTGAGAAGTGTGTTCCAGTTGTGAGGTAATGGAGAAAACACTGACCCAGAACTGAGATGAACTTAGTGCTAGGTCCACTCTTCCAGCCAGCTGACTGGTCCCCAGTGACCCCAAAGCCCCAGCTTTCCTGTATCAGATTCTTGGCCTTGTTTGTTAATTAGCAAATGATTTTAGATATTGGCCTTAAGTTTCAGAGAATTTGTATTTAATCTCTAGAGTTTCATAAGTTTGAAATTTTGTTCTAAAAGTAGAAATGTATAACTTGAATTTAATCTTGTTCCTAAATAGAATAATCATCAATTTCCAAAGAATAATTGTTCATATAAATGACTTCATATATAATCCATTCATAGTCTGTCTTTTGTGAATTCATTTCAGAGCCCCTAATACATTATTAACATTACATTTACTTGATAGCTGTTTTGGTGACAGTATTCTTATAAAAGATACTGAAGTCCTAAGTTCTTAAGACCTTGACTTTCTCACAGGTCTGTCATGTCTTTGGAACATGTTTGCAGGACACGGCGTAAATCATGTCTAACTGATAAAGACAGAATATCAGGCTTCATGTGAAGTTTTTTCTTATTGTTGCTGTTTTATTTGTTTTTGCTTAGTGGAGGGGGAATGCTGATGGATTATTAGGGCCACTTAGGTTGCTAAATGGAGATAAAATATGGAGATACAAGGTATTAAATAGAAGAATGTCCTTCTCGGAGATGACAAGGGTTAATAAGCCCTTAAAGTGTGTTCTACTTGGTTGTTTCTATCTGTATAAGCTCTTTATTATTTTATGAAACATTTATAAAATTTTAATCAACTTTACTCTGTAATGTAAATACCTGAGAAAATAGGTACTGTATCTCACAGAATTACAGATCTTAATTCTCATCTGGTATTCAGTGGTGATAGTGTTATTTTGTTGTATTTTCTAATGTTGCTGTTACAGTTGTCCCTTTGTATCCATGGATTCAACCAACTGCAAATAGGAAATTTTGGGGGGAAGAAATTTCCAGAGAGTTCCAAAAAGCAAAATTTGAATCTACCTGCTCCAGCAACTATTTGTATAGTGTTTACATTGTATTAGGTATTTTAAGTAATCCAAAGCTGATTTTAAGTATATGGGAGGATGTGCATAGGTTATATGCAGATATTGTACCATTCTACATAAGGAACTTGAGCACTGGGGGATTTGGGTACCCATGTGGGGTGGGGTATTGGGGTGTCCTGGAATCAGACCCCCTCTGATACTGAGGGACAACTATAGTTAGTTTTTCAAAGAATTACAAACTACAGATTTGTTTTAAGTGTATTGTTGTGTGATGTCAAAACATAGACAACTAGTGTAATGAGAGAAAATATTTGTAAATCATATACTGCTAAAGGATTAATGTCTACACTATATAAATACAACTCAATAACAACATCAAAAAACCCAGTTCAGAAATAGGCAGAGGACTTGAATAGACATTATGAAAAAGACTTGAATAGACATTTTCTCCAAAGAAGATATACCAATAAGCACATGAAAAGATGCTTAACACCATGAGTCATTCGGGTGTGCAAATCAAAGCCACAGCAGATACCACATCATACCTATTAGGACGTGGCTATTATAAAAAAAATTTAGAAGGTAAATAAACGTTGGTGAGGGTGTGGAGATATTGGAACTCTCAACACATTGCTGATGGGAATGTAAACGGTGAAACTACTGTCAAAACCAGTTTGGTGGTTCCTGGAAAAGTTAAACAGAGTCATCATATGATCTCGATGTTCCCCTCCTAGGTATTTACTCAAAGAACTGAAAGGAGGAATTTGAGTACCTATACACCAGTGTTCATAGCAACATTATTCACAGTAGCCAAAATGTGGAAATAACCGGTGACTGTTAGCTGATGAGTGAATAAGCAAGATGTGTATATATGGAATGGAACGTACTCAGCCATAAAAAGCAATGAAATTTTGAAATATGTTACACCATGGATAAACCTTAAAGACTAAGTTATGCTTAGTGAAATAAGCCACACAAAAGGACAAATACTGAATAATTCTACTTACGTGAGGCACCTAGAATAGGCAAATTCATAGAGACAGAAAGTAGATTAGAGGTTACCAGGGGCTCACAGGGAGAGAAAAGTGGGGAGTTATCTTTTAACGGGTACAGAATTTCTGTTTAGGATGATAAAACGGTTCTAAAATGGATGGTGGGGATGGCTGCATAGCATTATGAGTGTGCTTATGCTACTGAATTGTACCCTTAAAAATGGTTAAAATGGTAATTTCTTAAAATTTTATTTATTTGAAAGTTTTTTACAACATAATATTTTAACATTATATTTATTTTTAATTGAAGAATAATTGCTTTACACTATTATGTTGGTTTCTGCCATACATCAACGTGAATCAACCATAGGTATCCATATGTTCCCTCTCTCTTGAACCCACCTCCTACCCCATCCCACCCCGCTAGGTTATCAGGGAGCACCAGGTCGAACTCCCTGTGTTATATAGCAGCTTTCATTAGCTATCTGTTTTACATATGGTAACGTATATATTTCAGTCCTGCTGTTTCAATTCACCCAGCCTCTCCTGCCCCTAGTGTGTCCATAAATCTGTTCTGTATGTCTGAGTCTCTATTCCTGCCCTGCAGATAGGTTCATCAGTAGCATAAAATGGTAATTTTTACATTATATGCATTTTACCATAATAAAAACATTAAAGAAGGAAGCTGGCTGAACAATAACAACAAAACTGACAGATTTACACAATTATATCTTTTCAGTATCTTTTGCCCACAGATTTCTATTCATTTGTATGGGCATCTCAAAATTGTATGGGTATTTATTAGATTTTTAGGATGGAGTACCATTAGGTTTGTATTGCCTTTGAGTTACAAACAGTGTAGGGTTTTTCATGTTTTATGACAAAGATTTTTAATGACTCCCCTTTGTTTTGCAGCTACTTCGAGAACTTAAGCACCCAAATGTCATCTCTCTTCAAAAGGTGTTTCTGTCTCATGCAGACAGGAAAGTGTGGCTTCTGTTTGACTATGCCGAACATGACCTCTGGGTAAGGCGCACCATGGTGGATGTGGGGCCGTGGTTTCAGTCGGGGATCAACAGGACTAACTGGAGACAATTTGAGGAGCTCATCGTAGTATTAGAGTTTTTATTTTAAGATAAAAGGGATCTCAGAATACAGTTGAGAAAGTATGAAGGGTAGAGTGTTGCTTTGTATTTTTACTTTTGTTCTTATCAGTTTGACATGCTGCAGAGAACAAAAGAATCTGGAGTATAAACAGCTCTTCAATATTGTTTCCTAGCTGTGGATTTTGACAACACAAAAAAAAGTAACAGTAATGACTGTTTTGTTGTAAAATTTAAAAACAGCCTATTTCCTTTTATTCTGTAGCGAAGTGAAGTTGCTCAGTCCTGTCCGACTCTTTGCAACCCCATGGACTGTAGCCTACCAGGCTCCTCCATCCATGGGATTTTCTAGGCAAGAGTAGTTGCCATTTCCACGAGAAGGTGATAATACCTTGTGTAGGGACCTGAGTATGTTGTATTTATTTGGAGAACTAGATTGAGATTTGGGCTTCCCTTGTGGCTCAGCTGGTAAAGAATCTGCCTGCTATGCAGGAGACCTGAGTTTGATCCCTGGGTTGGGAAGATCCCCTGGAGAAGGGGAAGGCTACCCACTCCAGTATTCTGGCCTGGAAAATTCCATGGACTATATATAGTCCTTGGGGTCTCAAAGAGTCTCACACAATTGAGCGACTTGGATTCACTCACTCAGATTGACATTTAGTGGGCCTATTTGTCATATGACATAGGGCAAATCTCTTAATGACTCTGAAGGGGTAGCTTCCCCCATCTGTAAAATATAATACTTTTACTGCTCTTTTTTACAAGTAAATAATATCCAGTATTGTGTCAAGTTAATTAATTAACTACTTCACTATTGTGAAATATATTTTTTTGCTGTTTAATATGTAATAAGTTCTTTAAATATTTTGCTATATTTTGCATCCTGTCTATACTTACTGAATTAGCATGGCTGTGCGTTTATTGAGCTAAATAAAAAGAGAAAACATATGCAAGGGATTACAGTATCCTGGCTCAATTTCAGAATCTTCAAAATAATTTGTCTTTTCATTCAGCTGTAGTTCGTAAATGGAAGTACAAAATTTTGAAATAAAGCTAGCACAAATCCTGGTAAAACTGTAAAAGGAAATTCACCTTCTGAAAATAGTGGAAGTTTCAAACTCTTTTGTTAATTTCCAGATGAATCCTCCTTTTCGTCATTTTAACTTTAACAGACTCCAGAAATTGAAACTTACTTTGGTTTCATATGCTTTCAGATTTATTTTTTTTTAAAGTTTTTTTGTATTGTTTGTAGATTGCTATTTTACATGACTAAATGTGATTTGATTCAATTTATTTTTATATAAGTTACCTGGAAAGAACTATTTTCAAACAGAAAATAGACACATGAAATTTTCCCTCTTTTATGAGACTATTGCCCAAGGTTCATGATAGTTTTTGTTGGCTTCTGTTATTGTAAAAGAAATCAAATCAAATTCAGATTCTGTTAATAAAAGTTCATTAAATTGGAGTGGCCAGTATTGAACACTCATCATATTCAAATGTAATATAAAATCAAATTATATAATCCAAGTTTATGAGAAAATTTCCAGGCTAGTTGATAAGCATGATATGTAATAAGACATAGTTGAGCATAGGAGATAGTATTGTATTCAACATGGTTTCTAGCAAAGCTGGTATGTAATATTTAATTTTATGTGTAGGTATAATAATTATCCATTCATAAAATAAGCTGCATGTAATGTCTGTATATGGAGAAGGAAATGGCAACCGACTCGAGTATTCTTGCCTGGGAATCCCAGGGTCAGAGGAACCTGGTGGGCTGCCATCTGTGGGGTCACACGGAGTCGGACACGACTGAAGTGACTTAGCAGCGCAGCAGAATGGGTGCATAGAGTCACCATTGGCTTTATCAACTCATTTAAGCCAAATAAGCACTTCTAATGCTCATTTTAATAAAAACCAAATGATGATTCAGTTTACTAAAACTATTTATCCATTTTATTTTCTTATTTTAATTGGAATATTGAAATGAATTATCTGGGGTAAGGCAGCAAAGGGCAAAAAGAATAAAAAGTCATTTTAAAAAATTACTTAGGTGTTGGTGAAATCTTATGGTATACGTATTGCATATTTGTTATATAGCCCAGGAATGAAAATGAAGGTAAGAGATTTCCCCACTGTAGTTTTTGTAGCTATAAAATATTGGTAAAAAAGTAATTTGTAAATACCCTAATGAAAATACCACCTAAAGAAATGTATATAGCATCAATTGATTATCTTACCGCCCACGCATATTTATTCCTTTCATTCTTACTCTGGCAAGTTTCAATTTTCTTTTTTAATGTATCTTAATTTTTTTTTTTAAGCTCTGAGAGCTACTGGTTCTTCTTAAGGTGATGTGACTTGATTGTCATTTCTTTGGATAGGTGACAAAACAGTCTAGATTATTAAGACTTACTATAGCTCTGTTTTGTTTGCCTGTTCTTAAGTACTTCGAAAAAATGAGAAGAAAATTAAAATAATATCACTCTGCTACTAAAGGATAGATTAATCATACTAAATTGATTAATCATACTACATACTACATTAATCATACTACATACTACTAAAGACACTAACTGATACCTTTTACCTTCCCAAATATAGGCCTTTGCTCTATATTTTTTCTTTGGAAAATAAAACTCCTTCACTCATTAGTCATTAGTTACTTCTTACCCATCTTCTACTTCTATATATGGCTTAAGAAAAGAGAAATGGAAAGGTTAAGCTATACTATTAAATATCTCACTCCTGTTTTAATTATTTTTACTAAGTTCAAGAATACACCTAATATGCAGTCAGATACTGGCCAGGAGTCTGCTCTTGTGCGTGTTAGATGCAGGCCTGTGCCCAGTGGTACACACAGCAGAGTTGGCTGCAGCCCGATTTCTAGATTTTCTTGCAGTTTGAGAGTGCTTTCATTACAATGGAGAAATCTGTCGAGAGTTTGAAACATTGGATCTTGTTTCTGTTGAGGTACATTTATTTGTAAAATGATTTTTCTGTTTATAAAGTGGCATTATGTTTACTGGATGTCCACTAACATTATACCTAGAAAGCTCTGCTGGATGTTTCAAGGCCATTTTTTTCCCCCCTTGTCTGAAGCATTGATATTTCTAAATATTATATATGACCAGAGATATGAGCTGGTCATTTACATATTATTCCTTTGTGCGTCTGTGTACTTAATTGAAATATTTTTCCATTTGCTTTCTTTATAACCCAGTTGTGGTAAATAGGTACCACACCTATGCTATGTCAGCCAGCCAAAACTCTATTCTTTTTTTTCTTTCTTTCATTTAATACACATTTTATTCACTGCAGAATAGCAGATATTTGTTTCTTGAAAATTTTCACTAGATAAACAGGTCAAGTAACTCTGAAAGTAATTTTTAATTATACTTTAAAAATAAAATCACATTACTTTCTACTTCTTTGTTGTCATTTATCTTCTGAGGCCCTATCCCATGCTCAGGAAATGACATTTTAGCTGTAGTTATTTAAGGTTATTTATGCTATCCAGCAGAATGTGAAATGATATTTTCAGTATCTTTGGAAATCCCTGAGTGTTTCCTTTTCAGTTAGGAAAATATTATTTATCAAACTATCTTTCCTTCTTTTCTTTTTTAAGCTTCTGGTGATATTTTTCTTTCTTTCAGCATATAATCAAGTTTCACAGAGCTTCTAAAGCAAACAAGAAGCCAGTTCAGTTACCTCGGGGGATGGTGAAGTCACTATTGTATCAGATTCTAGATGGGATCCACTACCTGCATGCTAACTGGGTGTTGCACAGGGATTTGGTAAGTTGAAACGTAGTTAGGTGTAAGCTGGAAAGATGCACTTAAGGGTTGGGCGATGTCTCTAGGTGTTAGCGCTGTGCAGGCCTGCAGACCTTACAGGGGAAGCACGAATGCTACGGTCTCAAAATGAGCCAGCCTTGTGCTTTTGTGTGATGTCTCCTGCTTCGAGACACATATTAGCTGATGCTTAAGAGGTGAAAGAGGCCACACTGGTTCTGCTAAGCTTTTAAGTCTGTAAATAAAGCATTGGCTTGCTTTACATTGATTATTAGATGCCAGATAAACTCTGGAAGTTGGTGTATTTATGAATAACTTGAAAATACAACCTTTGGAGCCTACTGCATATGAAGTTGAATATTAGAAGAGGAGTGTTCAACTGCTCATTTTTTGAACCCCACTATATTAGTAGCAGTCTCTCAGCCAATAGCCTTTTTTAATCATGATTGAATACATTATTAAGAAGCCTTGCCATGTTAAGGTACACTAAATTCTTAAGAATTCAAAAACTTCAGAAATTGACTTTATTTTTATTTTACATGGCAGAATAGTGTATGCCCTTAAAAAAATGTATAGCATTAAATTGTTGATTACATTGTGCTTGTTCATGAAAGCTTTATTTATTTAAATTATTTAAATTTCAAATTCCTGTTTACCCCTTTCATATTGCATAATTACATTGTGCTTTTGTTGTTCTTTTCTTTGTAAATGTAGTGACTCTAGTGAGGTTTGTAGCAGTGCCTTCATTTCAAGCAGTTATAGACAGTGCTGGAAGCTGTGGCATGGTCTCTGATCACATGTGTACATAGGAGACTTCTCCATCCTGATGAGGTGGAGCCACTCTGCCCTCACGTGCGTGCTCTTTGCCAGGTGCTGTGTTTAATGCATTCGTCTCGCCTTCAGTCAGGTGTTTTAGTTTCTGGTTCTTTCATCTGTCTTCAGCAAATCTCCTTGAAATATGTTTGGTGGCAGTTATTTTATCTCTAGCCTAGAAAAAGCATTTACAGTAGGACCAAGTAACACATCAGAAATTTGGTTGAAATAACTTTTTCTCTTATGCAAACTTTATTTTTAATAGAATTAGGATATTTATAAGCAGTGAATTTATAGAACATAAATATGAAAAATCCTTTGTCTCTTTATGAAAATGAAAATAAATTTCAGCTTTTAGAAGAGTCAGCTTAGGGAAAAACTGTTACTACTTTTGAGCTTCTGACATTTTTTATGATTTTAAAAGAATAGAATCTGGTTAAAGGGCATTTTTCTCCCTTAGAGTTAAATATGTTAAGATAATGTTATATTTTTAATTTAAATGTTTTCTCATCACTAAAATATGTATGTTCATTAGATAAACACAAACTGATTTTTAAACCAGTATTTAATTTTTATATTAATATGTAATATACCTCCTCTGTTCATGGGATTTTCCAGGCAAGAACACTGGAGTGGGTTGCCATTCCCTTCTCCAGGGCATCTTCCCAATCCAGGGATCAAACCTGGGTCTCCTGCTTTGGCAGGTAGATTCTTTACCATCTGAGCCACCAAGGAAGCCCCTGAACTGCTTATATTAGTGTTAACTACACTATAAAATAATGAAAGTAATGAAAATAATTTTGAAGTCTGATTTTTTGGGGGAGAGTTCTTTCTCTTGACACAGCCTGAACAATTGTCTTTGGCATAGAGACAGTGTCAAGCAGGTCATTTCAGAAGTCTGTGTTGGTGGTGCCCCGGGAGACAGGGGGCATGGAGCAGTGCATCCAGGTGCAGGTGACAGAGGAATGCACTGTCTGCAGCTGATTTAAAAATAATAAACAAACTAAAAGTAGTTACACTTTATTATGACCAGATACTGGCAATTCTGAACAGTATCAGGGGTAAAATACTCCTATTCACTGAAGCCAAATCCCTCTTGGTACTGTGCCCCTCTTGCTAGGCCACTGCCATCTGTTTAGAAGTGTGTTCATCCACAGTCTTTTCTAAACTGTAATCAGTTATTTGTCTGCTGCTGCCTCCTTTGACTTTCCCGTCTGAAGCATGGTTTCCTGTAATGTCTACGCTTGGCTTCTTAGTGCTCTTTCCAAACGCCTGACCCTTCTGTGCATTGCAGGCCCACTGAACCATTATCTCATTGAAGTGATAACCTCTGCCCCTAGGCTGGATCTTACAGGTTCAGGTCCCTGCCTCTTCGGTTCTTGAAGGAAAGATTCGTAATCATAGTTTTTATTAAAATTGTGCCTACCTTCCTGCCAACTGAAAATCAAATTTTGGAGTTTGATAGTATATAATTTTTCAACTTTAGCTACATAAGATATTCATATATGTAGTATTTAAGTATTTACTCTGAAGAATATTCTTTATAAGCTGTATGACATGACCTTTTTTTTAATCTTTCCTCAAGCAGTTATTATTATTTGCAGCATAATTACTAGTTAATTATGTTCATTGCTCCTTTTCAGTCAGGTTTAGATGAAATGAGGGGATACCAACCTTAGCAGATCTACATAGATTTCTAATGTTAAGAATTGGACCAGTTGGTTAAGGTGCTGACTTGCCACATGAAGCTTCATATTAAGGTAGAAAGTTAACATAGACCCCCTAAAAACACCATTTGAAAATAGTCCAGAGTGTTACTGAAACTTCTGGTTAATAAAATTGGCTTTATTGTTAATAGAAATACTGATTTGAGATGATAGAGTTATGGAGTTCTTTGATATGTATAGTTAACTTTACCATTTAATAAATAAAGGTTAATTTTGTCACTGCTGATCATTATGTAGTAGCAAATCAGTAACTGAGGTCTGTCATCCTCCACAGGAAATAGAGACTTAATAATTCTGGAACTCTTGTTGGGCTGAATGTAGTAATAAATACACATGTGCAGATGTTCTAAGAAATGGGCTGGAAAGGAAATCTATGCAGTATTTGTGACATAATTTATGAATTCAAAGTAAACTGGAGAAAGAAATAAAAACAGCGGTGTGTGTAAGGTAACTTTACTCTATTTGGGACTACGCCCTTCCTCGCTCTTCTTATATTCTCCTCTCCTTGGAAATGAAAGTTGTTTGACTAGCAGTCTCTAGTCCTGATTCTGGCATTACTACCTGTATTAATCATTGTTCTCCAGAGAGAAACAGGTCTGTGTAGAGAGAGTGGGTTTGTGTGGAGAGAGTGAGGTTTCTCCTAAGCACTTCCTTCAGGCAGTTGTGGAGGCAGGTCAGGCTGGCAGGTTTGGCAGACCCAAGGCAAGAGTTGCAGTTGAGTCCAGAGTCAGTCCCCTGGCAGAATTCCTTCTTGTTTTGGGGTGAAGCCCACCCACATTATGGAGGGTGATCCCACTTAAGTCAGAGTCCATAAATTTAAATGTCAATCTCATCCAAAAACACCTTGATAGAAACATCCAGAATACTCTTTGACCAGATGTGTAGGCACTATGGTCCAGCCAAGGTGACACCCAAAATAGCCATCCTATTCAAACGCATCAACTGAGACACATGCAACTTGGGAAAAGGTATTTCAGGGTTGTGTTGTCTATATTCTCCCCTGCCCCAGCCCCCCAATTATCTGCTTACATAAAATAAGAGTGTTTTGTTGCATTAAGGAATAGTAAGGTTTTTTGGGTTTCTTTTGCCATGTGTACCGTAAAGAGAAACTTAAGTGTGAAATATTAGGAAAGTTTCAAGTAAAGGTATGTTTTAGTGACTCAAAATAAGGACAAGTTTGAAGTTCATTAGCCTGATTGGTTGGTGGTTTTTTTCTGAGCCCAGTCTAGTAAAAAGCTTAAAGCACCAGAGTCATATTCGATCGTTTTTGTGTAGAAGCCAGGCTTGATCCAGCAGTGGTGACTGAACTCCCCTTTGAGAGGTAGTCCTCTGGGATTGAGTTAGAGCACATGGGCAAGGGTGTGACCATCAGTGACGCCATTGTGACCTATTTGAGGATGTTCAGCCAGTTCACTGTCTAGGCTCTATCAATGGAGATGATTTTTTTTTTTAATACATCTTTCTAAATTTTGTCATTGTTTTCTTGTGCAGTTGTGAAATTTCAAACTCAGTAATTTTTCTCTTCCTAGGAAAAATTCTGTGATAGATTAAGAATTTGAAAAACACTTCTCACCAGTATGCATGCTGCCGAATTGAAGATTAAAAACACCACTATGGTCTGGCTCCAATCTCCTGTTTTTCTTTTATCTCATTCTTTATATTTATTTTCCAGTCAACCCAGAGGTCCTGCCTGTCTGAATGCCCTCCTCCCTTCATCTCCAGCATTTGAAATTCTATTCATCCTTTAAAGCTCTGCTCCTGCTACCTCATCAGAAAAGCCCCCAGCACCCACCACCCCAGTCACACTAGCTGAGAGTGAGAATGTTTACTTCTAAACCATGTAGCATTATTTTTAACTACCCCTGGGGTGCTTACTAGTTGGGTAATTGTACTCCTCTGTCTGATGGTAAGTTCCTGAGGGCAAAACCTGGGATTTCTTATGTCTTTGTAGACTTCCCAGTGCCTGTGGAATACACAGTAATGTATACAGCATTGCTTACACGGGGTGAATGAACGAACTAGCCCGTCTGTAACAGAAGCAAAGTGGTCTCCAAGGTTATTCCCCATAGCTTATCTCTGATGTTACCTGACACTTCTCCGTATCTAAGGATGCACACAGACTGCTGCACTTCTTCCCTTCACTCCCTCTTATCTCTGCTATGATTTAGTGCAGTGAAACAGTGCAGAAAAAATTCTTTTCTATTCATACCACATTTTAAGTCCTTTCAGCAGCCTTCTTCTTTCCACTGAAAAGAACTCAGCTCTTATCAGTCAGTTCAGAGACCATTCAGCTAATGACAGTGATCTGTTGATCTCATCCATCGCTCCCTTCCTCTTCTCCAGATTTTTGTTCCGCCCAGGGAGACGTATTTCTTGGCCCTTTGTCTGTTTGTTCCGATGTTCAGTTTATGTCATTTATTTTTTCCAATTTTTCTCCTTTAATCTTAAGGGTGGAATGTTTTC